CCAGCTGGAGGGCCCCACAGTCCCGTGGAGTGCAAGGACTACCAGCAGGCCCCAGCCTCTCACCGTGGTGCCATCCACGGCCACGTATACTTTGCTGCGACTGGAGTACACCTCCACGTCCAGGACTCGCCGGGGACTGCTGCCTCTGCGCCGTGGCGGCTCCAGGCGGCCCAGGGTCTCATCTGTGGGGTGCGACACGCAGAGGGATGGTCTCCTCGGCAGGCACACCCCTTGGGATCTGCCTGCCACTCGAGCCATGAGACCCCCTACCCCATTCTCAGCCTGGCCCCACCGTAGTCTTGCTCTGGCTCCAGCTCTTCGTTGGCTTCGCTGATGGCTTGCCGAGTGTCCAGGATCAACTTGATGTTGACAATGACAGTCACCAGCAGGAAGAGCACAGCCCCTGTCTGAGGGGAGGGGTGGGGATAAGCAGGAGGAGCTCCAGATCAAACAGTCTTCCTCAAACGAGGTCCTGGCTGCACCAGGACACAGGCACAGGTCCTGGCACCTGCCTCTGCCTCTGTCCGCCCAGCTCTGTTCCCCAGACCAGGGCTTACTTTCACAGCCACCTCCTCCAAGAAGCCTCCCCTGAGATATCCCCCTCCATCAGGTCCCTACCCAGAGGTCCTGTGTTTTTCCATTTGAGGCCTTGATTTCCTTGGTCCCCTCCACAGTTAGTGCCTAGAGACAGGGCCAGGCCCAGAGACCCAAGCTGAGGATCAGAAGACCCAAGTCCTAGCCCTGAGTGCCGGACAGGTGTGTGCCCAGGGCCACACCTCCCCGCCTGGACCTCCCAGTGCTTCCGCCAGAAGCCTAGAAGGGTGCCCTTAGGTTCTGATTCCAGAACTCTTGGTCCAAACCACTACCTGGTAGGGACATGACACAGAGAGGTTGCCCCGCTGCCCCTTCCCGTCTGGAAGTGGCCAAGGTGGGTCTTGGGGCCCACGGCCTAGGCTGGGGGAAAGCCGGGAGGGAGCTCCATACCTGGCAGAACCTGCGCAGGGCCCGCTGGTTTGTCAGTTTATACTTCCAGGTGAGATACCAGCTCCGCTTCTTCCGAGCCCCAAAGGGCTTGACCAGGGGGCTGGACTTCCAGTCGTCCATGCTCGATTAGGAGGGTTACTACTGTCCAGGCCAGCCCATGACTTCTGCAATCTGAAGGGACCAGAGGTCACATGGGGTAAGGTGCTCCTCGCCAAGTCTGACACCTTCTGCAGAGGGGGGGAAGGTGGGGCCCTCCCAGCAACTCACATCCACGCTGTGTGACCTGGGGAAAGTGCCTCAACTTCTCTGGGCCTGGCACGGAACCCCTGGGAGGGAATTGGAGCATCTGGCAATTCCCTGGGGCTGGGCAAACTATCTGAGTCAGAGCTGCTCGGCGCCCTAGGAGTGCAGGCCGAATAATCAGCTCGCGAGGTTCATCGGCACCTAAAGTGCCTAAGTCCCAGGCCTTTCTAGGGGTGGGCAGAGAATAGCGACCTCCCCCGCCCATTGCAATGGTCCACCCTCACTCCATCCCATCTGGCCCCGCTCCTCTCCCGGGACTCGGGGCCGCCCGAGGGCTCAGGGCCCCTGCTTCGGCCGCGCCGCCCGTCCCGGACCCCCGCCCGGAGGCACTCACGGCTCAGGGCCCCCGGGGCCCCACTCGGGCCCCTCTCGGGCCCTCACAGCTCGGCCCGGCGCGCCGCGGCCTCCGCCTCCTCCATGCCGCTCGCGGCCCCGCCCCGGCCCGCCCCCCCGCTTCCGCCGCCGCCGCCGCCGCCGCCGCGGGGTGAGAGGGCGGCGGGCGGCGCTTAGGGCGGCGGCGGCGGCGGGGCGTCTGCGGGCACCGTGCGGGCCGCGCACTCAGACCCTCCTGGTGGGCTCGCGGCGGGTCGGCGGGTAGAGGGAGCTGGGCTGGAGCCGGCGGCTCCCCAGCTGATTCCAGCCAGAGCGCGACACCTTGGAGCAGATGGCGGCAAGCCAGGGTCACGGACAGCAGGCCCCGAACACAGGCCGCCTCTGTCCCCGCCCATACCCCTGCTGGGCCGGGCGATTACCCAGGCCTAGGGCGCGCACACAGTGGTTGGATGCGAGGGGGCATTAAAAACTGGGTTCTACCCCCGTTCTGGGCATTTCCCTGTTAACTCCTTGAATTCCACTACAGCCCCATGAAGGAGGCAGTACTCTATCATAACCGTATAAGAAAGAAAGTGAGGCCCGACGATCCAAAGGTAGGAGAACTGGAATTGGATGGAACCCTTGCGGCAGGCTCCAGGTCCTGCCGTGAGCCACTGTGCTGTGTATCACTACACAGTAATTAGAAAGCTGCCAGGATTAAATGAGATAATACATTAAATAAAGCGCTGTGCCTCATCCGAGTTTAGATTCAGCGGTGTGGAGGAGGGCAGGATTTGGGCACACAAGTCTCTAGGTGATGGAGATGCGTCTTTGCAGTGACTGGGTAGCCATCAATCCCGCTTATGTTTCAAGACAAGCTTCACTGTTGCCTGCGGAATGGGCTGAAAGAGGGCAGAGGCAGCCAGAAGAGCGGGTGAAGTGTTCTGAGCTCTCCATATTCCCATCCGGCCCCAGAATGGTTGGGATGGTGCTGCCTTAGGAATTGAGGCCATGGGTGACTTTTCCCAGTATGTGTTAGAATGAGAACAACCCTAACACATTTGCATTTTTAAAAAGATTTTTGTTTATTTATTTGAAAGGCAGAGTTACAGAGAAGCAGAGGCAGAGAGAGAGAGAGAGGTCTTCCATCCACTGGTTCACTCCCCAGATGGCCACAATGGCCGCAGCTGAGCCTATCCAAAGCCAGGAGCCAGGTGCTTCTTCCAGGTCTCCCATGTGGGTGCAGGGGCCCAAGGACTTGGGCCATCTTCCACTGCTTTCCCAGGCCATAGCAGAGAGCTGGATCAGAAGTGGAGCAGCTGGGACTAGAACCAATGCCCACATGGGATGCCAGCACTGCAGGCAGCGGCTTTACCCACTAAGCCACAGCAAGGGCCCCACATGTGCATTTTTTAAAGGTCTCTCAGGGTGCCTCCCTGGCCCTCCTGTCTTCAGCATCCCTCTTCGAATAAGATCCCAATCTATCTCATGACCTCTGCTATCACTGTTCTTCCCGAACTCACATCTGCAGTGCTAGCGTGTCCACTGAGCTCCAGGCTGACCTGTGTCCAGCTGCCTGCTGGAGTCATCTCCCACTCCCTGATCTTTAGGTTCACTTCCTTGGTGAGTTGCATCAAGCCAAACAACTGGGAGTCACCCTTCGCTATGTTTCTCACCCGGGACAGGCCAGTTCAGAAATGTTTGCTCACAGGGTTGGCCCGGCACAGTGGGTTACACTGCCACCTGCGACCCTGCGGGTATCCCACAGGAGCACCTGTTAGAGTTCCAGCTGATCTGCTTCCAATCCAGCTTCCTGCTAATGCACCTGAGAAACCAGTGGAAGATGGCCCAAGTGCTTGGGCCTCTGCCACCCACATGAGAGACCAGAATGTTCCAGACTCCTGGCTTCAGCCTGGCCCAGCCCCAGCTGTTGTAGCCATTTGGAGGGTGAACCAGCAGATGATATTTTTGTGCTCTCTAACTCTGTCTTTTTTTCTTTTTTCTATTCTTTTTTGACAGGCAGAGTGCACAGTGAGAGAGAGAGACAGAGAGAAAGGTCTTCCTTTTTGCCGTTGGTTCACCCTCCAATGGCTGCCATGGCAGGCGTGCTGCGGCCGGCGCACCGCGCTGATCTGATGGCAGGAGCCAGGTACTTATCCTGGTCTCCCATGGGGTGCAGGGCCCAAGGACTTGGGCCATCCTCCACTGCACTCCCTGGCCACAGCAGAGAGCTGGCCTGGAAGAGGGGCAACCGGGACAGAATCCGGGCAGTAGAACCCGGTGTGCCAGTGCTGCAAGGCGGAGGATTAGCCTAGTGAGCTGCGGCGCCGGCCTCTAACTCTGTCTTTCTAATAAATACATAAATTTTAAAAAATAGTCTGCTCCCAAGGCTGGTACTTGGTAGGCACTCCATCGTATTTGTTAAAATCATTCATTTGATTTTTGAACAAAAGTTTATTGAAAAATACTATAAATAAGTTAATGTAATCCTATCAATCATACCTCCTAAACAGTCTTCCATTGTGGTCTAATTCTCTAACCTCACAAGGCCCTGACTCAAGCCATTTTCAGTCTTTTGTCTTCCAACTAGTCTCCTTGATTTTTATCCTAATCCTTTCTCCCTGCTAAATGCAAAGTAAATTTTCAGAAAGGCAAATGTTTTGCCAGTCTCTGATTTAAAACCTTCCCACTGGGACCGGTGTTCTGATGCAGTGTGCATTCCATAATGGAGTGGATGGAAGATCTCTGCCTCTCCTCCTCTCTCTATTGCTCTTTCAAATAGATAGATGCTTAAAAAAGAGAGAGAAAAGAAAACCCCTTTCTCAGAAAAAAAAAAAACTTTAAGAAAAACTTAAATTACAAAGGATACAATCATATGAACTAGAAATAATGATGGAAATATGTAGTCATGGAGAAAGGTATCTGTAGTTATCTCATTAGGAAGCCAATAGACAATGTTTAAAAGTAGGAAGTGGTGGGGCCATGTGCTGCGGCATAGCAGGTAAAGCCATGGTCTGCAGTGCCGGCATCCCATATGGGCGCTGATTCAAGTCCCAGCTGCTCCACTTCCAATCCAGCTCTCTGCTATGGCCTGGGAGAAAGCAGTAGAAGATGGCCCAAGTCTTTGGACCCCTGCATCTATGTGGAAGACCCAGAAGAAGCTCTTGGCTCTTAGCTACGGATCGTCCCCAGCCCCAGCTGTTGTGGCCAACTGGGGAGTGAACCAGCAGATGGAAGATTTCTCTCTGTGTGTAACTTTGTATTTCAAATAAATAAATAAATCTTTTTTAAAAATTGGGAAGTGGTGCTGTTAGCCTATTTGTTGTTCAGAGTGTACACACCAGGAAAAAAAAACTAAAAGTGGTTGCCTCTAGGGAGTGGGGCCTGGAGGTGTGAAAGGGAAGGGCCAGGGCACCTGTCTTCATGGTACAGCCTTCTGTAACCATGGACTGGAGTTGCTTGGGTTAAAAGCCAAAACCAAACCAAACTTTTCATGGCTCCTCCTTGGCTCTGGAAACATCTTCTATAGCCCTGTTGCTCAAAGTGTGGTCCCCAGACCCACAAGCAGCATGACCATTCCCTGGGAGCCTGTTGGAAAAGCAGAATCTCAGCCCCACCTGCAGATTTACAGGATCAGAACCTGCATTTTAAGATTGGCAAGTGATGCACAGGCCCCTGGGGCTTCAGTACTGGTTGCTCCTCACTGGCCATCCACTCCTTTCGTCTGAATTCCAGCTCCCGGGGAGTGTGTGCAGGTGGCTAGCTTGATTTTAGCCGCCCGCCCGTTTTAGTTCCAGCTGGCCTACTCCAGGAAACCTTCCAAACCTTCTGTGCAGCTCTCTGAGACTTCTGTTCCTGAAATTCGCGCATCTCTAAGGCTTCGCTTTCATTCAGCAAACGTTTATTTTGGGTGCTCGTTGCGTGCCTAGCTGGAGTCAGCGCCGGGGTAGGGAGAAGGCGCTGAGCTCTCCGGGTGCACGTAGGATCGCCCAGCCTCACGGCACGCAGGGCCAGGGGTTGTGTGCGCAGCACTCGGAGACACAGCCTCACACGGCTCTGCGCGGCTTTTCTGAGAGTTACGGCGCCCTCCTCCCGCCCCCGCGCAGTGCCGGGCGGGGACCCACCGGTTCCGCTCCGCGTTAGCAGGGGCGACAGAAAGACCCCCGGGAGCAGGACCCCAGCGTCCGGCCGCCCAGCCCCGCTCGCGCTTGGGGCCCGCATGGAGGGGCCGGTGGAGTCCCAGACTCCTGACCTGCGAGACGTGGAGGGCAAGGTGGGCAGGAAGACCCCTGAAGGGCTGCTCCGTGGGCTGCGAGGCGAGTGGGAGCCGGAACCCTCTGGCGCCCTGCTACTCCCGGGGTCGCCCGGAACGGGCCACGGCCTGGGGGACAGGATCATGGCGCTGAGGATGGAGCTGGTGAGTGTGCGGGATGAGTCCCCCCGCGTAGGGCCGGAAGGGACGGACTCACGCCCCCGGAGGTGGTCTGGAGAGTCCCCACCTAACTCCTTGGGGTCCCTCCCAGATCTGTCGTAAAGCCCGGTCTGGAGGTGGGGTGACGTCCTTTTAATTGTCCCCCGAGGGTGAGTGCGCTGTGGATGCGTCCTGAGGACTAGGGCTGGGAGACGCAGGCTCTGGGAAGTTTTTCCTGCCGAGTAATTGGGGGGGGGGGGGGGGCTGGGAAGTTCAGAGAACCTATCGCAGCACGCATCAGCGTCCTCCCGGTACGGGGCCACTCGTTCCCCCAGCCCCCATTCCAAGGCAGCCAGTCTTTCTCTTCCTGCAAACTGGGAATGGGCTTGGTCCCTGTGAGGAGGGGGTGTTCTCGCTAGGATTCGGCACACAAGAGATCTGAAGGGCAGAGCCGCTGAAAGCGGACTGGAGCGCTGGAGACCCCGCCTCCGCGTTCCCCAGCCCCACTTGGTGTGGGCATTTGAAAGTTCCAAGACTCAGCAGAGACAGCAGCCGGCGCTTCGGTCCCCTCACCTGCGACTCAGCCTCCCCCCCCCCCACCTTCTTGGCAAAGAGAGGCCACAGGGCAGCAGCCCTCCCCTATCCCAGTTGCTGCTGGTCTAGATTCTGAGCCAAAAGGGCAGCTGGGGCCCCCCACAGACTCCCCAGGGCCCTAGGTGGCTCCCCAGAGCCCTGGTTCCGGTGAAGGGGTGATTTACACCTGCCACGGCTTTGCAGCCAGTTCTGGAGAGCTGAGGAATTGCCCGCTGCTCCCTGGCCCCAGACCAGTAGCTGACTTGTGAGTGTGTCAGCCAAGTCTTCCTGGAGCCCCACTTTGTGCCCAGCTCTGGGAGGAAGCAAAGGGAGGAGGTCAGAGAGGCTCCCGCTCAGGCCCCAAATTAGAGACTCTGAGGAGAGCTTGATGGGCGGAGCAGTCAAGGGAGGCTCCCTGGGGGTAGTTCTTGGATGCCAAGTGTGCACCTGGCCTTGAAGGTTGGAGGCAAGTGCCAAACCCAGAGCAGGGCTGTGACTGTATCCAGCTATGCTGGGGTGGGGGAGGGACCTCACTGTGCAAACTTTAGCCCAAGGCCTAGAAAGAGACAACCTGGACTGCCCTGCTTTGCAAGGAACTTTGACTGTGTATGTGCCGGCATCGTGCCCAGCCCTTTATGTGATATTCTCTTGCAACCCTGTTAGGTAAGGAATACCTGCCTAACACAGGTAACACCAGGCACAGAGAGGTTAACTCACTGCCCAAGGTCATGAAAAAAGTGAAAAGCAGAGCCAGGATTTGAACCCAGGTCTGCTGACCACCACTTTGCATCTTTACAACTGAGACCTGTTCTGTGCTGGACACTTTACAATACGTTTTGTATCACTGGAATGAGAAAAGTGGTCATCATTTCCCCCACCTCGGATACACTTGCAGGTGCTGGTTCAGGAGCTTCCTGAACTCACAAGGAGCCTGGAGGCGCCACGCCTTGTCTTTCTGCCTCTCTCTTCTGCTTCGGTGGAGACCACCTGTTTATAAGCTGTAGGGGTACATTTCACTTCTGATTGTCTCTCTCTGTATTTTTGACCCAGCTGGCCTGGGGCATGAGGCTGGATGTAAAGGGTACAACTTAGGGAGCCTTCCTGAGCCAGGACAAGGAGAGGGGCCCTAGCATTCCCTCCACCCTCCTCAGGCTTGGAGTCCTCAGTCTCCGACCTAGAGGAGCAAGGGGTGGGGCAGGGGTTTCCCTGGGGCCACTGGAGGCAAGACTGGTGCAAGCCCTCTAAGAATTGCCCTGCAGTTGTCCTTCTTCCCTGGGGCTCCCATGCAGGGAGGGGCAGTCCTGCCCTTGTGGCCAAGGTCGGTCCTGCCTCTAGGGCTCTTCTTACCCTTCTTCTGCTGTGGAATGAGTGAATGAGTCAGACTCTGGAATGAGACCCTGGGTTTCGTGGGAATGGGAAACAATGCAACCTCCCCTCCTTAGTTCTCCCACCCAAAGAACTGTTGCTAGGGCAACAGCAGAGCCAACAGCGGAGCCGGTGTGAAGCAGCTATAGGCAGGAAGCGGGAAGGCATGGGTTCAAGTCTTGGCTGTGCTTCTGAATCACTGTGTGATCTTGAGCAGGCCCTGTCTCTCCTCGCCTCACTTTTTGTGCCTGTGGAACCTGCCTGCTGGGGCTGGGTCTTTTCCTGCAGGTTCCGTTTTGCCTGGGGCCGGAGGCTGCCCCCAGCAGGACCCCAGCATAGGCAGTCTATGTATTATCAAGGACAGGAGGAGGGAATCCGAATCCTCCTGGGAAGAGAATGGGGTTTGAGTAGCTTCTGAGGCTGTAGCTCTGCTCAGCTGTTTTTCCTCTACTCTGCTTCCAAAGAGAGAGTGTGAAATGAGTGCTGCTTTTTCTGGCCAGAAAGCCTCGCTTTCTTCCATTCTGGGGAGAGTGATGCTGTCACAGGCAGGGAATCCCATGACCGACCGTGGATTACAGAATCTGTTCCTCAGATTCCTTCTGCCCCAGCCCTCCCCGCCCTGCCCCTTCCCAGCCCTAGGGGCCACCTGAAGGGCCAAGAATAGCCTGGGCAGGACCTGCTGTCAGGACTTGGGAAGAAGGAAGCTAGCCAGACAGTGTCAGTGCAGAATGCTAAGTATTGCTGGAGCCCAAGGAGGGGCTCCTGGAAGCGACTGTGTGTGTTGAGAAAGATCACTTCCAATTGGTGGGGAGCATGTGCTTTTTTTTTTTTTTTAAAGATTTATTTATTTATTTGGAAGGCAAAGAGGCAGAGGCAGAAAGAGAGAGAGGTCTTCCGTCTGCTGGTTCACTCCTCAGATGGCTGCAATGGCTGGAGCTGTGCCTATCCGAAGCCAGGAGCCAAGAGCTTCTTCTGGGTCTCCCACGTGGGTGCAGGGGCCCAAGGACTTGGGCCATCTTCTACTGCTGTCCCAGGCCATAGCAGAGAGCTGGATCGGAAGTGGAGCAGCCGGGACTAGAACCAGCGTCCATATGGGATGCCAGCACTGTATACAGCAGCTTTACCTACTACACAACAACGCCAGCCCCGAGCATGTACTTTTTCTTCTGGTTGGTGTGCTTCTCTCCACCCTTTGTCTGGCTGAGTTCTACTTAAGCCTCAAGGTTCAGCTTCTGCCCTTTATCCTAGGGAACATTTCTTCACCTCCCCTGGTCAGGTTAAGGGCCTCTAGGTTAGACCCTCTGCACCATCATTTTCTCCAGCATTCGCTACACTGAATTTTAACGACTCGCTTCATTGCCTTACCTTTGTTTTTGCTTTTGTTTTATTTTTTAAAAAGATTTTTAAATTGATTTCTTTGAAAGAGTTAGAGATATCTTCCATCTGCTTGTTCACTCCCCAAATGGCCACAACGACTAGGGCTGGACCAAGCCAAAGTCAGGAGCCTGGAACTCCATCCAGGTCTCCCACAGGGGTGGCAGGGGCCTGAGTACTAGGATCATCTCCCGCTGCTTTCCCAGGCATATCGGCAGGAAGCTGGACTGGAAGTGAAGCAGCCGGGACTCAGACTGGTGCTCATTTGGGATGCCAGTGTCACGGGGGGTGGCTTAACCTACTGTGCCACAATACTGGCCCCTTAACTTTGTTTTTCAATTAAAAAGAAAAATAAGAGACGGCGACAGAGAGAGATGCCATTAGCTCTCTGTTTATTCATCAAATACCCGCAGTGGCCAGGCTGGGCCAGGCCAAAGCCGGGACCCTGAACCCAGTCTAGGTCTCCCAGGTGGATCACAGAGATGTGCTTGAGCCATCTCCTGCTGCCTCCCAGGGTGCTCATTAGCAGGAACCTGGAATTGGGAGTGCAGCTGGGACTCACTCCGAGATGGGATGCAGGCAGCCCAACCAGCGTCCTAACCACTAGGCCAAAGGCCTGCCCCATTGTCTTCTCTTATCCAGTAGACTGTGAACTTTCTGAGCGTAAGAAATAGTGCCTTTTTTTCCTTCATCTAACACAGTGCCACACCTTTAAGAAACACTGAATAAATATTTGTTCCATGATTGAATGGATTAATTCTATCTTGAGGAAGGGTGGGAAGACTTCCTAGAGGAGAAGGCATTGGAGCTAAGCCTGAAAAATGAATAAAGTCTGTGAGAATTCCTGTGGAAGATGGCAGAGTGAACGCATGTACTTGCCTTCATTCATTTCTGAAACTCCACTAAAAAGCCAGTAGAAGGATTATTTTTAAAGGCATAAATCCATTCTGACAATGAGAATAAAAGAGAAGATAACAGGAACAAAGTTAGGGGAACTGAAAAGCAGAGAGAAAGTGGTGATTAACTCAGACCTGAAAAAAGCCGGATACTAACCAGCAGCAGGAAAAATTCAAAAGCAACCCATTTTCTCTTAAGGGCACAGTAGGATAGGCTGCTTGGGAAGCCAGCATCCTGTATTGGATGCCTGTTGGGGGCCTGGCTACTCTTCTTCCAATCCAACCTCTTGCTAATGCATCCCGGGATGCAGCAGGTGATGGCTCAAGTTCTTTGGCCCCTGCCACCCATGTGAGAGACCCAGATGGTATTCCTGGCTCCTGGCTTGGGCTTGGCCCAGCCCTGGCCAAGTCCTGGTTGTTGCAGGTGTCCAGGGAGTGAACCATTGAGCAGAAGATCTCTCTCTCTCTTTCTCTCTGTCTCTCTTGCTTGTTCACTTTCTCTTGCTCTGCCTTTCAAGTAGATGAAAATAAATAAACATTTAAAAAAAAAAAAAAAACCTCAAAGATCTTAGGAGTTGGAAGCACCAGTTACTCATGGAGCTGGGAAAAACAAATGGGACTGAAAAAAAAAAAAAGATTAGTTGAATGTTTGTATAAACATCATAATGTAGGGGCTGGCACTGTGGTGTGGAGGGGTAAGTGGCCGCCTGCAATGCCAGCATCCCATATGGGAGTGCCTGTGTTTGGGTCCTGGCTCCTCTTCAGATTCCAGCTTCCTACTACTGCATATCTGGGAGG